TCGTCGTGACTTGCTATAAAGAAATTGCCATATAATTTCACTGGCGGATCGGAAAAGCAAGTTTGAGAAGTGTCTGCCTCTTCACAATGCAGGGACTTGGGTGGCGTCTCCCTTGTGCTTCCCAAAACCCCCAATTCTTTGACAGCAAAATTTCAGATTCCCAGTTTACTTGGATTTAAACAAGTTCAACCATACATTTATGTTGACTTGCTATTTAATAATTCATTGAATAGTTCTATTCTAGCTGAAACTTAGCAAAATTATTTAACATACTTTATTATGTTGACAAACCATTCCAATGCGGACTAGGCAAAACTATGGTGAGGTGGATCTGTAATTGGTTAAGCGAATGAACCCAAAGGGTGCTCAGCAATGCTTCCTCTGCATCCTGGAAAAAAGTGACAAGTGGAGTGTCATCAGCAGGGTTCTGTCCTGTTCAACATCTTTATTAATGACTTAATGACTACACAAATGACCAGCCACTGCCAGAAGGGACAGAGAGTTTCATCTATGCTGATGATCGTGCCATTACCGCTCAAGCAGGGAGCTTTGAGATGGTTGAACACAAGCTCTCCGAAGCTCTAGGTGCTCTTACTGCCTATTAAAGGGAAAACCAACTGATCCCCAACCCATCAAAAACACAGACATGTGCCTTTCACCTTAAGAACAGACAAGCATCCCGAGCTCTGAAGATCACCTAGGAAGGAATCCCACTGGAGCATTGCAGCACACCCAAATACCTGGGAGTCACTCTGGACCGTGCTCTTACCTACAAGGAGCACTGCCTGAACATCAAGAAAAAAGTGGGTGCCAGAAACAATATCATATGAAAGCTGACTGGCACAACCTGGGGATCACAACCAGATACAGTGAAGACATCTGCCCTTGTGCTGTGCTACTCTGCTGCTGAGTACGCATGCCCAGTGTGGAACACATCTCACCATGGTAAAACAGTGGATGTGGCTCTTAATGAGAGATGCCGCATTATCACGGGGTGCCTGCGCCCTACACCACTGGAGAAATTACACTGCTTAGCCGGTATTGCACCGCCTGACATCCGCCGGGAAGTTGCAGCCAATAGTGAAAGGACCAAGGCAGTGACATCTCCAGCTCATCCCTTGTTTGGGTATCAGCCAGCACGTCAATGACTTAAATCAAGAAATAGTTTTCTTAGATTTACAGAGACACTCGCTGGAACACCTCAGCAAGCGAGAGTTCAAAAGTGGCAGGCTCAAACCCAGCACCTCAATTCATGGGTGATACCAGATGAGAGACTCCCCCCTGGGGACACAGAAGACTGGGCAACTTGGAAGGCGCTGAACAGACTGCGCTCTGGCACCACGAGATGCAGAACCAACCTCAAGAAATGGGGCCACAAAGTGGAATCCTCGACATGCGAGTGCGGAGAAGAGCCAACCACTGACCACCTGCTGCAATGCACCCTGAGCCCTGCCACATGCACCAGGGAGGACCTCCTTGCAGCAACACCAGAGGCACTCCAAGGAGCCAGATACTGGTCAAAGGACATTTAATCAAATACCAATTCTGCATACTTTGTGTTTTGTTTGTTTGTTTGTCTGTTTTTTAATGTTTTGGTTCGCTCCTGACATGATAAATAAATAAATCAAATAATAATAATAATAATAATAATAATAATAATAATAATAATAGTGTATTTATGTTTCAAATCATATGCTGTGTCCAGGCTGGTTCCTCAGGTGCTCTGCTATGGCTGACTTCTCTGGTTGAAGTAGTCTGCAGTGCCTTTCATGTTCCTTGATTCGTGTTTGGGCAATGCTGCTGCGTTTGGTGGTCCCTATGTAGACTTCTTGTCCACAGCCATAGCAGAGCCCCTGATGAACCAGCCTGGACACAGCATATTATTTGAGAACACAGAAATGCTGGACCACACCAACAACCACCATGTCAGGCTACACAGAGAAGCCATTGAAATCCACAAGCATGTGGACAATTTCAACAGAAAGGAAATCTGGCTACCAGTATTAAAAAGACTCTAAAATTACAACAGCACAACAATAGAGAGGAAACAGGCAGGGACATCTAATTACCTCTCAACAAAAGATTTTCCCAGGCTCAGCCAGGCCTTCAAATGCTAATGAAGGTGGTCAGTTGAAACA